TGCATTGCTCGATATGAAACATAAACAGGGACGAACGCGAATAAATGGAAATATTTTTCATTCTCTTATGTCCCGCTCAGACGCTGCCTGTCGAAATGAACGTAGCAATGGTTTGCTCAATGTAAAAATTGTAAAAGCTTTCGACGCAAATATTTAGAAAGTGGTTCAATGAATCTTAAATGTGAAAAGTTTGTGCAAAGTTTCAGATCGAGCACTTTAATTTGATGTAAAATAGTAGATCGCTGGGAATAAGCGCCTTGTTTTAGAATAATATTTATGTAGATAAATAAAAATGAGCGAAAAAATCTGTATTTCATCACATGTGGTGATTGTTGTTTTGCCACAAAATCCTTGTTATAAAATATAATAGAAGTTTTTTTACTCTGTACTTACAATATTGCAGTCAATAAAAATCACGACAAATATTTTTCATTATTTCTGCCGCTTGAAAAAGTACCTACTTGACCGTTACTGTAAATTTTCTTACTAAACGAGCATACATTTCTTGAGAGGTAATTTAAGAAATGATAGAAGAGAATTTCTTTTTAATTTCTTGAACGACATTTTATTTGAATTTTTCGTTTTTTTTAATGGCTTTATTCTTAAAAAATAAAGTAGGTTTAAAGCATGGTAGAAAAAAGAAGGTAGTTTCACTTAATGACATTAGCAGCCATGTTAGCCATTTGACTTTTGCTGGGATTTTGTAATTTTCATCAAAATCTAGCTACCAGATTGAAAATTATAATATAATTTTTTTCTGAAATAAACTGGACATAGCAAAAAACAGAAAAATTTTGTAAAATAATAAAAAGAAAAATGAGTTACGCATTTGGAAGCTGCACAAATACAAAATACCACTTCCAGGAAGACGGTACAAATGTTTTTAAATTTCCAGCGCTTCCTTTTGTGAATTCGATATTTAAATCTGAGGTTAAAAGATAACAAAACTAATACGAAAATAATCAGAAGAATTAAATCTTGATGGGTTTGTTGAATTTATTAAATAAAATCGTTTAATAATGTTAACGCAACATACATACACATTAGCGTGGGCCGAAAATCCGCCTTTTTAGAATTTTGATTGGTAATAGCAAAAGTATGGTTCATTATGCTCTAAAAATAATCTGTGTGAAAGATGACAATTTTTGGTCAATATCTTATGCTCGCCCAAGTCCATCAAAGTTCAAGTGCTAAAAAATTTTTTCTTAGCTTAGTTCGATTCTCTATAAAAATGTCAATATACCAAATTATGAAGGACTAATACTCTCGAAGATACTTGCAATTTTAGTAAAAAAAAAAAACGTTTTAATTAATGTATTTATTAATTTTTATTTTTTGAGCACATTGAACTTTGATGGATTTGGGCGAGCCTAAGATATTGACTAAAAATTGTCATCTTTTGCACAGATTGTTTTTAGCGCATATTGAACAATATTTTTTCTATTACCAATCAAAGTTCTAAAAAATCGGATTTTCGGGCCACGCTAATACACATAGATTAATTTCCAGTTTGGGGTTGGGCTGAGAAATACCATCCTACTTACGTATGCCATTATCCATTGTATTTCGAAGTTAAATTGCATCCTTTTTATGTACATATTTTCAATACATATGTATATCATGTACTAGACTTGTTTAGTTTCGTCTAAGAAGACTAAAATATTTACACTTAATAACTATGGAAAAAATCCCCATCTCGAAATTTGCTAATTTATTTTTAAATATTAACAAATTTGCAACATGAACAAATTATGAAGCTTCAAAACACCCAGTATCCATCAAAAAGTTGTTTACTGAAACTACCTTAATTTTTAACATGGTTTAAACAGCTTTATAGATTGATGTTTTCAATTTATAAACTTGTTTAAAGCTACGTTATTTTGAATGAATATGGCTATAAGTTTTAGGTAAAAATATTTATTCATAGAATAGTAAATATATTACGATTCCTTTTTATACCGATGCTCAATTTGTCACTCCCGCCACAATTTAAGTTGAAACATAAAAACTATAATTACAAAATAAGAAAGTAAAACCGTCCTAAATACATGCATGAATACATAATTAGCAGAAAAACTACGATACGAACAAGTAGTACCTGATTTTACATTCGTGCTGTCCACATAGGTCAAAGAGTTTAAATTTGAAAAACATAATTCATTTGTATTAAAAATGTTTCACATTTATACCCAGGGCTTTATAATCAAGAAATTTTTAAACTCTTATTAGCTAAAAAATAGTTCCTTGCACTTAATTTCCATACAACTTTCTTTTATAGCGTTTGCTTCGAGGCGAAACGAAGCCAGTGAGCAATATGAATTGGAGCTCATAAGCCAAACACTTGTAATTACTTGCTCAACACAAGCTCACAAGCCGACGCTCTCTTCTTCATAACAATAAGTGAGCGCCATTAGTTGCGTTTTTTTACTAATTTCCTGTAAAATCTAGTAAAAGTTTTTACGAATTTTCATGTTTTGGCGTTTTCGTACGCAAAAACTTGCAAAGTAGGGGAAATTGAGAGAGCGAAAAATGACAGTTGAAGTTGCAAGTTTTTACTGGATTTTACTGGATAAATTTTTACTTGTAAGAATTTGCCAGTACGAAAAACAGCTGATCGCATGTTGCTGGATGAAATTTAACTAATAAGGAAACTGTTTGTGGGTTTTTATTGTTGAATTTCACAAAATAAACCGATTTAAATACAAAATATATTGTTTTATTAGTAATTTTTTGCGAATAAACAACCAATTTATCAGCTGTTCATGAAACTTGCAAATTATTACTGGAAAAGCGTTCGCGTACTTTTTTGCAAATTTTTTCTATGAGAGCGAATTCTTAGAAATAAAGTTACTGGAGAGTTGTTGGCAAGTTACTGGAAAATTTGTAAAAAAACACAACTATTCACATTTGCTTAAAAGCTCAAACAGTCAACGACGTAGCGTAGACGTAGGTTGACGCAGACACGACAGACACCGCATGGCGGTGACTTTGTCGTTGTTTCTCTCTCTCTCTCAAGAGTAAATTTGATATGCTGCTACGTACGTCAACCTACGTTTACGCTACGTCGTTGACTAACTGCGCTTTTACTCTCCGTGATTATTTCGCTTGCTTCACACTTAGTTTCTCGCAAGCAGCTCAACGTTGTGTTTTATTCATACAGTGCAGGACTCTGGTACCTATGTGCAGTTGTAAGGCGCATGCTAGGGTGATGTTGAATATGTTATTGTAGCGTAGGCAAAGCTACGTTACATATTTTCATCTGACATACAGATAGAATTATCTGTGTTTGGTTTATTTCGTTTTCAAAGAACGTAATTTTAAATAGCTAATTAAATACTGTGAGTTTGACAGCCAGATGGAATTACATATCTATCGAAACAATCACATTTACAGATGGAAACACATATCGTGTAAGAAGACTTTTAAACTGCACTGTAAAAAGAAGAAGAAAATAATTTACGTCGTCACGTACCAGTTGCGATAATATGGTGAGCTTAAATTATTTAAAAAGAACGCTGACGGTTTTTTGTCCAGTGTTAATAGTTATCTCGATATATATATATATTACAGTTTAATAACAGCAAACTTGAATATTCGAATGGTTTTTGCCTATAACTTAAGCTGCTTTTAAATGAGACGATTTTTCGACAGGCGATAATCGCCTGCAAAAGTCGACTTGATGTCTACTTTGCGACAAGCGATTTTTGAATCACCATTTACACAAGCGATTTTTCATGAGCAATGTTGAATCGCCTTGAAAATCGCCTCATGTAAGTTCAGCTTTATAATTCTTTTTTTCTCAGTGATTTGCTTGACCTTGGTTTGTCGGTCCAAACAGGAATCTTTATTTACGGTTGATGGATAGCTCGTTTCCAATGGATGGTGGCCAGAAAGTGGCTGACTTACGTGCAGTGTTGCCGCGCCGTCTCAAGAAAATGTATCCCTGACCAAGCCAAAAATGTATCCCAATGTATCCAATTTTCTTTTTTTACATATACATCTCCTAATTTGTAAGAAAACTAAACATTTTCATGAAAAATACATAATTGAACCCATCCTAAGGCCTTGGAATACATGTGCATAAAATCAAACATTTGTAATTTCAATTTATAAAGTACATTTATTGTGCATAAGTATTTTGCAAGTACACTCTAAAAAGAGCATGTAAAACTACTACTGAAAAGTATCTATTTTTCAACAAGAATCTGTATAAATATACGTATAAGATGTTCAGTATTTGATTTTGAACTTGAGATCTTTAAAATATACACATAAATACACATATATAGAATGTTTAAAATTGCAAAAATTTTCAAACTACAAATACATTTGAGTAGTCTACTTGCAAAGTACGCTATGTAAAATTTTTTCGATTCTTAGTTTTTGGCGGATTACGTACCAGTATTTAAAGTAGTTTCATGTCCACTAACAACAGAGTGCAAAATCTTTTTTATATTCTGAAAAAAATAGCATCAAATGTTAAGTCTTCTTCCAAAAGTCGCTATCATACTTATGTATGAACTTTCAAAAGTATCAATCTTCTGATGAACTTAGAAAGCTGCTTTAGGTCGTATAGACTGTTAATGTTATCTTATGACATGTTATGTTATGTTACAATTTTATAAGGCTGCTATTTATCCAAATTTTCAGGTAATAATAAAAAAGATTCCATTTAAATGTTACCTGTTGTCGTAGTCGCTTTTTCAAATTTATGGCTTTCTATTATTATTTCTATTGTGACGAACTTGAAAAGGCGCGATACTACTAGATACTTGTAGAGTTATTGCACCTGTTACTTTTCATACTTGTTGTTATTTGATTCGTTTAATTGAGTGTTCATAGATAATATTGAGTTTTCAGAAAATCGGAAAAATGTGTAGTTAGTTGGAATTCGACAATTCAGTGATCGAACTCAGATCTTAAGAGACTGGGAAAGGACGTAACAATTGGTGTCAGAAGTGGGATTGTCGAATAAAGTTTCGTAGAACAAGATCTTGGAAATGACGAAATTTAATGAACTTAAGATTCCGCAACTTAAGAAGGAGTTGGAACAGCGGGGCTTATCATCTGCTGGAAACAAAGCAGAGCTGCAAGCACGACTACGCGAGGCTATGGAGGCGGAGGGGGTCAGTGTGGACGAATACGTGTTCCAACTGGAAATTGAGGAGTTATCGACTAAAGTGGAAGGTAGGGCAGAAGCTCCAGGTCCATCAGCGGGTTTAGACATGAATATGATGATGACTGCAATATCACAAATATCGTCGCAGATGTCGCAACTGTCTTCTCAAATATCATCGGAGTTGTCGTCGCAGATAAATACGCAGCTGGAAAAGCAGGATACCCGTATATCACAGGTCTTATCCCAATTAGAAGCACAGAAGACACATGTAACGTCGCAACTGGAAACGCAGGATCTAAAAATTACGCAGTTACAGGAGAAGACGGGAGGCATTGAGACTGAAGTAGATGCAATGAAAGCTCGCCTCTGTGAACTACAACTGAATCGCCCGAATGTTTTAATTAGCGGTTCCAAAGTAAAAGCTCCATCCTTCGATGGCACTGTATCCTTCTCAATATTTAAGCTCCAGTTTGAAACAACAGCAACAACAAACAACTGGGGTACTGCAGACAAAGTAGCTGCATTGGTTGTCTCGCTTAAGGGTTCTGCAGCCGAAGTACTGCAGACAGTTCCAGAAATCGACCGGGGTAACTATGACGCTATAATGGCCGCAATAGAGAGACGTTACGGCAGTGACCACAGGCAACAAATGTTCCAGATGGAATTGATGAATCGCTTTCAGAAGATAAATGAGACACTGCAAGAGTACGCAACAGAGATCGAGCGA